ACAAACTTACTAGTTCATATGCCCCATTGAACACAACTAAGTTTTTCTTCTGAGAAGACCTAGCTAGGATTGCACTGTAAAATCTTGCCGCTCTGCTCTTGTGTGTAATGTGTCCACAGCATGTCCTTAGTGTAAATAGTGTAAATACTAAGGCCTTGCAGGCTTTCATAGGTCTTTCGGTGGCAGCAATACATTCACAAATCATTTTTGCTTGCTACAGTTATCCCATTGTCTTGCGCTTGCTTATCTCTGCCTTGTCAGAAGGGATCGGATGTTTTGTGCCCCGCTTAATCTGAGCCTCGCGTATAGTTCCGTTCAAAAATGGGTGAGGATAAGCCTGTCTTGCATCCCTCCAATCTGGTGTCCCAGGGATTCCTGTAGTGACTTAAGGGAGAGATACGCTTGGTAGACGGATTAGCCCAACAGAGCCGTAAAAAAACGGGAAATTAAAGCAAATCGGCATTTCTAAACCACCAAAACGAACGGCTCTGTGGATTCGAACCAGGCTTATTCACGGCCAGAATCACGTTTCTCTAAATGTACAGTAGTCATAAATCCTCTGGTTTGAGTGGGTCTCCTCCAGGTGCAGATGCAGCGTCCAGATTTATTCCTGCTCTGAGTAGAGCCGCTGAGTTCTACGGGGCTTACTACCTGTGAAGTCCCATTGGCTTCAATAGCTTGGTTCGAAGTCTGGATCCAAAGCAATGCGTCTTGAAGGGTTAAGAGGAACATGAATTGCTTTCTCCCCCACCGCCCACCCTTTGGGAGGGATTTAATCCTCGGGAGAAAGAACTCCCCCACCCAGAGTAAAAGGCATTTTGCTTTTTCTTCTCCTCTACGGGGCTTACTACCTGTGAAGTCCCATTGGCTTCAATAGCTTGGTTCGAAGTCTGGATCCAAAGCAATGCGTCTTGAAGGGTTAAGAGGAACATGAATTGCTTTCTCCCCCACCGCCCACCCTTTGGGAGGGATTTAATCCTCGGGAGAAAGAACTCCCCCACCCAGAGTAAAAGGCATTTTGCTTTTTCTTCTCCTCTCCCCCCCTCGACCCTTTGGGAGGGATTTAACCCTCGGGAGAAAGAACTCCCCCACCCAGCGTAAAAGGCATTTTGCTTTTTCTTCTTCCCCCCCCCTTTTTTTTTTGTAAATTTTCTTATAATCGACTAGATAGGCGGGATATAAATAAAATAATAAATAAATAAATAACGGAGGTGGAGAAAAGCTTTGCCTTTCAAAACGCGTCGCAGCCCCGATGCCTCCTCTTCTCTCTCACAAAACGTAGGAACAAACCCGGACTACCTACACACACGCGCGCGCGCACACACACACACACACCCTCAGTCCCCCCCCCTTCGGATTTGGCTGGCTGGCTTGTTTGTTTACTCGTTTAAAATATTTTTAAGCCGCCTTTCTCCTGAAAAGGATCCAAGCCGGCTTACATCATTTAAAAGACATTTTGCTACTGGGGATAGGAGAGACGGGATGTCTTCAGTGATTACTAGAAAGGGGAGGGACAGCTGGATAGCTCGGTGGGTTAGGCATTTGGCTGTAGAGCCGGCGGTTGGGGGTTCGATTCCCCACTAGGCCTCAATGACAGGGGCTGGACTTAATGATCCGATGGGCCCCACTCCAGCTCTGTAGCTCTAGGACAGCGACTAAAGTAACCCTAGCTAGATTTCTGGAAGCTGTCGTTCAAATCCTCAACTTTTCCAACCTCCGATCCGATTTCCAGAGAGATGCCCTGCAATCTTCTGGCGCCTTTGGCCAGAACGTCCGAAGGTGAACATTTCTGGTCTTGGTTTTCATCCGCCCCATCCCATAATATTCCCCGAAATGTAATCGGTAGCAAAGCGATTTGATTCCGAGGAAATTCTTCAGAGATTACGCAATCTGCCAAGCGATTATTAAAATTACAGCAGGATGATGTGGAAAAAATATATTTTCCATCTCTTTAGGACCTTGTTTTTCCGGGGGAAAAGGTGCTAATATGCAAAGAATAGCTTGGTGTCTTTTTGGAAGCCTAAAATTCCATTTAATCCTCTTCTTCTTTCTTTCTTTCTTTCGCAGCCAACCCAGACTCTGAGAACGGCATGGTCGAAACGCTGCGTTAAAACGAAATCCACCGAAGTGAAGTCACCAGTCAATCCTATAAAGGTCAGCTGAGAAGTCCCATTGAGTTCAGTGGTGTTTACTGCTGGGTAAACGGTTATAAGATTGGATTTATAGTTTGTTTATCCTTTGCTGCAAAACAGCTCAGAGCAAACATAGGGAAGTAATTCAGCATCAAACCCGGGGTGTGTGTGTGTGTAAATGGACGAAAATATGATTTTTAATTTTTTTAAGTGGACTTGAGGGAACAATTCCTTATAGGGAACGGAAACAGACCGTGAAGTTCCAATATATGTATTTATTTCACGTTGTTGTTGTTGTTGTTTTAACTTCCCGGGGTCGTAGTGGCTGGTTATACTTATTTTATTTGGCCAGGCGCTAGCGAGATCTAAAATAAGGTTTAAATTCAGGCATTCTTCGGCCCGGCCGTTGAAATCGATGAGACTCCAGTTCCATACCAGTTCCTTCCCTCCCACTGATTTTCGACGAGTTTAGTCGAAGTCTGAAGCTCTGGATCCACACCCACCACTCCCGCAGCTAGCAGCTGATTACTGAAATACGGAGGACGTGAGTCTCTATTGCGGGCGGTCCTCCCCCTTCAGTTACTGGTGGCTCTCCCACGACGACTGGGGCCGGATTCCGACCCTCAGCATCTCTCAGCCGAGAAGACCACGGTGGCGTCTGAGCCCCAACGATTAAGCCAGAAAGCCAGCCGAGTTTGCCACAGCTCAGACCCTTGGCTTCTGCTCTTCCTCTTTTTCTTTCTCTTTTTTAAAGAAAGCTGCCTCGATCCACCACCATCACCGGGACTCTGCAGGACCCCTTCACCGCCCACCGGATTTATTATTTATTTACGCTTTTACACTTGTAAACCGCTGGTTTGGATGGCCAGTTCGGGTGGCGTACAAAACAGTCAATGATTCGGGCCGTTATATATATATATGTGATTTTTAATTTTTAAGTGGGCTTGAGGGAACAATCCCTCATAGGGAACGGAAACAGGCATGCACTCCTCGGAAGCCCGAATCATTGACTGTTTTGTACGCCACTTATAGGGAACGGAAACAGACATGCGCTCCTCAGGAGCCCGAATCATTGACTGTTTTGTACGCCACCGGAATTGGCCATCCAGATCAGCGGTTTACAAGTGTAAAATGTTTGGGTTTTTTGTTTGTTTAACTTATATGCCGCCCACACTACCCAAAGGTCTCTGGGCGGCTTACAACAATTAATTCCTTGGGCACCGTGTTGCCCCCCCTCCCCACCTCTCACCAGCCCTCCACTGGCAGAGCCCCCAACCCCGTCCATATATTCCCCAGAGAGGGCCGAGTTCCCCTATGGCTGGGCCGGGAAGAGGGGAGCGGGATTTGTCAAGGCTGCAGCGTCGCTCAATAGAGCCTGTGCGGACGGAGGCTCTGTCCGTCCCAAAGCCTCGTACAGCCGCGTCCCCCTGCATGCAATGCAGTGGTTCGTTAAAAAAAAGAGCCGCCATCTGGGTGAGGGTCTCTGGCGGAGGGGAAGGGAGGGGTGTGCTGTGAGGAGGAAGGGAGGGAGCACAAATCCGAGGGGACTGCTCATGTTTTATAGAAGGCGACGGGATCCCTAGTCCGAAAAGGTTAACTCTTTCTACCGGGTGAACTCGAGTTAATATTCATAGGCATCGGTTAATTTAATATTTTATAAAACAAATGTGAATTTCATCAATGAATTTATTCAATAAATGTGAATTTCGTCAATGAGTCCATGAAATAAATGTGAGTTTCATCAACTAATTTAATAAACCGATTAAATTATAAAAATGTAATAAATTAATTTATTCATCCGCGCGTGTGGGGCTGCTGAAGCCACTGCCCACGGATTTTGGAGGAGGGCCCCGCCTTGTCATCATTGTGGAGTCTCCCCCCCCCCCTCTTGTCTAACAGCCATGTTATCCTTCGGCAAGACTGGAGCGTTCTCGCCCTGTCCATTGTTGTGGGTTGCCTTCAACCAAGCGCCGCTCCCGACGCCCACCGTTCTCGCAGGAGCAGACGGTCCCGGCCGGTCCTACCAGGTTATTTCCCCGGAAGGATGCGGGGCAGCGGGAGGTAAAGGACCCGGCAGATTTCCCTAAGAAGAAGGTGGGCAGGAAAGCAACTTCCCCGGGAGGAACACAAACCGCCTTTCAGCTGGCCCCGGTTCGTAAAGTTCGGGTCCGTTTCCTGTCTCTTGCGAGCTTGCTCTCTACGGGGCTGGGGTGCGCGCAATCTAAATAGCGGAGAAAGCCAGTGGCATTTGACTCGTTGTGCTTTTTTTCTTTTTCCTTAAATTAAATGCAACGGCTGAAATCCGGTAGTAAGTCGCGACTAAAGTAAACCCACGGAACCAGCTGGCAGTTTGGTGGGCCAGTCCCTTTATGAATCCCATTGATTCCATGGGCCTGCTGTAGGTGCGATTTAACCATCGGATTACGCCCTTCGGAAGGAAGCAAAATAAAAAAAAGAAGCGCAGAAATATCGTGCCCCTTGGATGCCTAACCATCAGGAAAGGTCCCTCTGAAATTAAACCTGTTCGGCTTTCTAGGTCCCTTAACTCTCGTTTCTATTTTTATTTCGTCTTTGTTATGTGTGCTAAAAAAGACCCATGACGCTGTCTGCACGGGGCAATGATATCGCTATAAATGAGCTAGACAATCTGCTGGTTCTGTGTTGAAAACGAAACATCGGGAAAGTCTTGTTATTGCTGTTCTAGGTGCTGCTGATGGTGAGGACGGCCTGTTTGTTTGTTTGTTTGTTTGTTTGTTTGTTTGTTTGTTTATATCCCGCCCATCTGGTCTATACGACCACTCTAGGCTGTTTCCAGGGCTCATCCTCCGACACACACACACACACCCGCGCGCCGGGTCTCATCCTGTTCTGCACACACGCGACTCACGGCCAAGTGATCCTTTCCCTTCACGTGTTTCATTTCTTTCCTTCAGCTGTTTTTATTCCGCCGACATCAACAATAGGGTGACGCACTGAACGTGTTTCGGCATAAAAAGGGGCGCGATCCGGAAGTCTTGGAGGGAAATATGGAGGCGTATTTTATTCTGACTAAAAGCAGAGCGCTCAGAAGGACACCGAGAGGCGGTTGCAGAAGCCCCTTTGTGGCTCTGCTCCTTGACGGGTCGGTTCCCTTTCCAACGGAGGGTGAAGATCCATTCACTGGTGACGGAGCAGATTCTGGTGGCATCATCACAAGATTCCTGAGGATGCTTGCTAAGCTGTCAGCCCCACGGTGCTCGGAGCGCCCTCCCAGTGAAGGGTTTACAGGCGGCCTCGTGGGTTACTCCGCGGTCCTTGGCACAGGGCTTGACCTTTCGAGTCTTCGGGATAGACTGCGAGGTCTTTGGAGGCTCCACCAGACTCTTGGGGAGGAAAGACTGCTCGGGCCAGGTTTGAGCGGAGTTCGCCTGGCCCCGCCGCCGCAGTAAAGCCCGTCGAGCTCCGGGTGACTTAGCCCCAGGTATGTGCCTGCAGGATTGCGCCCACCTGATGTTTGCCCTTTGCTAAAGACAATCCACCAGCCAGTGTGGTGGAGTGGACAAAGGGAGGACTTCGGAAGGCCAGCTTTCGAGTCTCCCCTCAGCTACGGAAACCTGGGGGGGGGTGACGGCAGTGGGGCAACCATGGCTTAAAGCCCTCCCTTGGGTCGCCACTAGTCCAAAGGACAAAGCACGGCTCGCTTCCTCCTCCTCCTCCATCTTTTCCTCCTGGGGGGAGGGGGAACCAGGCAGCTCCGCGTTGGCCGTCATCCTGGCCTTGTCCGGAGGAGCGATTTGACAGGGCTTAAAAACTCGTGGAAGGTCAAACCCAGGA